TTGTCCCTCAGAGTTTTAGTTTTATTTTTGCTGCCCTGACAGCTCTTTGTTTTGTTTGTTTAAATAAATCTTTTTATTTAAATCTCATCCTCTGTCCGGATTTGGGTTCATTCTGCACCTCAACCTAACAGTAACAGATCTAGTTGAATGACCACTTCCAGAATTTGATTTGGGCAGCAATGCACAGAGAGTTCTATAAATGGCACCGTAATTAAGGACGAGAAAGAGAAAAAATTGTGCAGTTTCATTTATTAATGATTTATGAAGTTTAAACTTTTCAAATGGATTAATAGCCTATCTATAAACTCTTTATAAGCCAAGGGAAGCTTGATTGTAAAGTGGTACTAAAAATCTTGCACAGTAAATTCTCCTCACCAGTTTTTCATACATTTTCCTGATCATAGACAAAAAATTTTCAAACACACATGTGAGAAAATCCAGCCATCATTTGTCAGTTGAAAGACTTTTTTCAGGATTGTTCACATTTTAAGGAGAGAAGAAGAATTCTGTCAGCTTGATTCATTCTGGACTTTACTATTTGACTCATTAGTGCAACTAGTGTTTGAACATGGAACTGCATCCACCATCATCACTCCCAGGTGAAGGACAGATGAGTGACAGGACAGGGGCACTTCAGGGGGCCAATCACAGTTCAGCTGGGGCCAATGCCCCTGTGGCCCCGCCCCTGATTTTATGTTACAATTATTAACAAAAAACAAAGCAGTGCAGGCAGGGTTCTCATCCAGCAGGAATTTATCATATATTTTYGTAGTAACATAATGTAGCTGTCCCGAATCAGGGTCTGGGTGGGGATTGCATGTTCTCACCATGCACATGTGGGTTTTCTCCCTCTGATCAAAACATGTTAGGTTAAAGGTTAATTAGTAAAACTAAGGTAATCCCTACATTAGGATTGGACAAAATTGTATTCTAATTGTCAGAAAAACTTTAAAAGATTATTTTTTGGCACTTGATGATTAATACGATTAATGCCAGCTGGCAGACTGACTGCAGATGTCCCCGGTCAGTCCGTTCGGTTCTACTCTATACGGCTCAAATATAACAAACATTTTTTTAAAAAAGTTCTGTACTTTATTTATCATAACTCTGGTTTTACTTGGCCTAGTAACATAATTTAAAAATTGATGTAAAGCCTGAAGTCTGTATTGTTGACACAATTTGGAATAGATTTTTAAAAAGAGCAAATCTTTCCCACAAGAGTGATTTCAATTGCTTATAAGGGTTTGCAGGCGTCCAGGGACTCTAGGTTAATCGTTATATTAATCGTTATCGGATTATTGTTTGTCACTAATATGAAGAGCAGCTTCTGGTTGCAAAAGTTTAAAAAGACTATATTTTCCTTTGTAC